AATTATACAATAAAAATATTCCCCTGCCCAGTTTTATGTTTGTATAATGTATAATTTATGTTTGTCAACGATTTATACAAACGAGAGGCTAACAACAATTTATACAAATGGCCTGCCAGCGAAATTATACAATTCTGAAGAGGAGCCAACGAATTATACAATTGCTTCTTTTTGTATATATGTATAGCGAAATAGACAGCTTTCAATTGTATATGTATAGCGAATTATACATATATATGTTTGCTATGGAGCGCAATTATGCAAACTTTGCTGTAGCATACAAATATGATTTTTTTGTTTACTATATGTGAAAGTTGCTCTATTATAAATCACAAAATATTAATAAAATTAGAAAATATAACAATAGAATTTCAAGAACCTTGTTATTGTTCTATTATCTATATCAAACTAAAAATGCTACTGTATGTTTCACAGCTAGTCAGTCACTCCCTTGTGTTTTTCATACTTTTATTTTTCCAATTTCTTGGCCAACTTTAAGGATCAATATTTTGTGTAATAAACTTTAAGTTAAAGTTTTTTATGTAAAAAAAAATACTTTATTTTAATTTATATGGCATCTTTCGGACTTCGAAATTCTAAGTGATCTTTCTTTAAGTATAATTTTTTTTATATATCTTTTAAATATTCTGAATTATCAATTATTGTGACTTAGTTATAGTACTTTATATGTAATTTTCAAATATGTAAATTTTATGTCGAAAATCAATGTTCGAGAGGATAACTAAGACTTTTGTAGTTTAGGGGTTAAAATAATTCCAAAAACTATATTTGATTTGTGATAATAATTAAGACTTCTCATAATTTAGGTGTGCATTTAATAAAGTGTGCCAAGTTTAAAGAGACTTTTAACTATTAACTCTTTAAAATTACTCCCTTTTCGTCCCATTTTATATGTCACCTTTTTACTTTGCACTTGCATTAAGAAATAATGTAACTTTACCCTTCTACCCTTATTTAATGTTTTCTTAAGTCAACTTTATTAATAAATGACAAGATTAATTAACTATTCTATCAAGGGTATAATAGGCAAAAAATGGTAATTTATGCATAAATTTTATAAAATGACAAGTATTATGGTTCAACTATTTATAAAAAGGGATGACATATAAATGGGACGGAGGGAGTATCAATCAAGTACTCATTGGACAAGCTTTATAAAAGCAGCTAAAATTAGTTAAAGCAACATTCATCACAAACATTTGTTTCTTAGTGAAAATGTACTCTTCCCTTTTTACCATAGTTTCTTTGCTTCTGTTCTTCTCCTTCTTTTTCATTCTACTTAGTAAAAATAAAAAACAAACAAGGTTGCCTCCAGGTCCATGGAGACTTCCTTTTATTGGAAGTTTACATCACTTGATTGGAAGAGGACATTTGCATCCTAATCTTAGAAATTTAGCACAAAGGTATGGTCCTCTCATGTACTTACAACTTGGGGAAATTCCTGTTGTGATCATATCATCATCTACTATTGCAAAAGAGCTTCTAACAACTCACGATCTCGCCTTTGCTGATAGGCCACAATCTACGTCCACAACCATCATATTTTACAATAATAAAGACATTGTATTTAGTCCATATGATAATTACTGCAAACAAATGCGTAAAATTTGTAAGGTACAACTTTTTAGTGCAAAGATGGTCAAGTCCTTTAGTACGATTCGAAAAGATGAGATTTCAAGTCTCATTTCATCGATTCGTTCTACGAGGGATTCTCCGATTAACATGACAGAAAAAATCTTTTGGTTTACCAATTCTGTCACTTGTAGTGCAGCATTTGGGAAAATGTTCAAAGATCGAGATGAGTTTATAAAATTATTGAAGGATATATTGATATTAGCATCAGGATTTTGTGTGACTGATTTGTTTCCTTCTTGGAAATTACTTCACAAACTGAGTGGTGCGGAATCTAGATTGATGAATGCCCATAAAAAGGTCGATGAAATTATGGAAGACATCTTAAAGGAGCATCTTGAAAATAAAGCAAATAGAAATAAGGGAATTGGTGATCAATTTGGAGGTGAAGATCTGGTTGATGTTTTACTTAAGGTTATGGAGGACGCTGAACTTGAATGTCCAATCACAAATGACCACATTAAAGCTGTGATTCTTGTAAGTTTGGGTCTCATCTCATAATCTTCTTCCCTCCCCTTTATTTTAGAGGAAATTTCGCAAACAGCCGCTAAAAATAACTTAATTAGGCTCTATAGTTGTAGTTTGTTAATTACGATTCGTAGCTACATTTAGAGGGAGGAGAGAGGTGAGCTAGATTGGGAGAGAGAGGGGAGAGGTGAGTGGGAGAGGGCAGAGAGGTGAATTGTATTTGTATATCTGTCGAATTGTATATGTATATCTGTTAGATAATTGTATATATGTGTCTGTATATCTAGCGAGTGAGATTGGGAGAGGGAGGCGACATGCGAGCGAGATTGGGAGGAGGAGAGAGGCGAGCAAGAGAGGGCAAAGAGGGGAAAGTGGTGAATTGTATTTGTATATCTGTCATATAATTGTACATGTATATGTATAATTTGTATGTGTATATGTATAAGAGAGGAGAGAGGCGAGAGAGAGGAAGAGAAGAGAGAGACACACATAATTATAGCTAAAAAGAGGTCACATGTGGTAATTAATTCAAACTATAATTATGTTAGCTAATTAACTAGTATATATTTGCTTATCCGCGTAGTTTCTCCTTTATTTTAAGGGTTGCCGTAGCCTTTTCTTCCTTTTTCATGCTTTTTTTTTATAAAAAAAATCTGATTTATTAAGTTATTTCTATTATTATTTAATTCAATAAAAGTAGATTGATTTTTTTATTTTTTTTATTAATAGTATGGATATAGGTAAAAATAATATCATTAAGTTATCGAGACTCCTTGAAAGATTTTTCCTTAATATATTTTAGTACCCAAATTTCATCTTTTACCTTGTGTACGATTTTAATTTTATTGACTTTATTTATTTACTTAATGTTGATGTAGGATATTTTTATTGCTGGAAGTGAAACTTCATCTACAATTACCATTTGGGTATTATCAGAAATGATGAAAAATTCAACTATTATGGCCAAGGCCCAAAAGGAAGTGAGACAAGTCTTAAGGGGAAAGAAAAATTATGATAATGAAGAAGATTTGGAAAAATTGACGTACCTAAAATTAGTGATTAAGGAGACATTAAGGTTACATACACCAGCTCCTCTTCTAGGACCTAGAGAATGTAGGGAGCAAACAAATATAGATGGATATACCATACCTCTTAAAACTAAGATATTGGTCAATGCGTGGGCACTTGCGAGAGATCCTGAAAGTTGGCATGATCCTGAATGTTTTATACCAGAGAGATTTGAGAACTCTTCAATTGACTTTTTGGGAAATCATTTTGAGTTTATTCCATTTGGTGCCGGAAGAAGAATGTGTCCAGGAGTGCTATTTGGTTTAACTAATGTTGAACTTTCTCTGGCTCAATTACTCTATCATTTTGAATGGGAACTACCATATGGAATGAAGCCAAAAGATTTGGATATGACGGAAACATATGGATTAAGTGGAGGAAAACAAAGAGATTTGTATTTAGTTGCCAGATAACTTGTTCCTTAATTTATTATGATTCATGTAATATGAACTGTAATTTTATTTATCAAAAGGCATTGTTTTGGTTTAAGAATGGTAAAAGTTGATAGAATTTTCATTTGATACAAAAATCTAGGTTATTAAATCTTCTCGTTATCGGGTTTGTTCTGAAATAGCTATTGATACTATTCTATTAAGTGTTAATCATGGACATAATTAATTTCAATTGTTAGAACTTCCCACTTACTAACAATATCATTTCTTAAAACTATTTTTTCGAAATAATAGTTTTAAGAAATGATTAAGCTAATAATTATGTGGTGAAGGATATTGTTGATGAAAAAATCAATTGTTTTGGATCAATTTACTATTTTTCATTAATTAGTAGTAGTAGCTTATCATTATTTTATTGTACATTATGTACGGTACATATTTATTTTATTACGTATTATGTGAAATGTATATACAATATGGTATGTTAACCCTTTTGAACACATATAAACTATTTGTAGTCTGAAACTGTATGTATGTAATGGATATACAATTGATTTACTTGGTCTTTTTTATATCAGGTTATATACAAGCATGTTTTAGTTTATGTATATAAAAATTGGTGCTCAACAAATTTTATTTTTTATTATCTGTTTTGGTTTACGGAATGATTGTCCAAACTAATATCTATATATGGATTGTGATATTCAATTTAGGAGATATACTTTAGATTATATAATAAATGGAATAGACTTATAAAGTGGTTTCATATATATCATGTGTATGGAAAAAGTATAATGTCTGTGAAAATTAGTATGCAAATTAATGCTCACCAAATTTATTATTAGTTGTTTTAGTGTATAAAATTGATATTCAAATTGATATCTATGGATTGTGATATTTAATTTAGGTGATATTAGTTTGTATACCTATTTCATACAGTGTTTATTTGTTTGAATCAAGATTCCATATCATCTATCCACATTCTAATTCAAGATTGAACGACTCTACCATCTTTCGAAAAAAAAGTTTGCTTTCAAAATCTATAAAAATATAAAAAAATTGAAAAAATGGATGAGCCAACGTAAGCCCAATTCATTGTTTCTTTGGGTGGGTTGCCACAATTCAGGTTCATTGTTTTACTGATTTAATAAAGAAAAATGACCTAAACTACACATCTTTTTTTACCCTATTTTCTATTATTCTCTACCATTTTAAGAAATTACAAAAAATCCTTTTTTTTTTTCAAATTCTCTTCTTTCCGGATACGTAACTTTGAATCTTCCAACTCCACGATTTTCTCCCCTCTTTCATGCCTATAATCACTCCACTATATAACCAGTTACCTCCATCACTCCTTTTTTCAAATTTTAAATATTTTCTCTCTCCAGTTCTCTCCACTATATCACCAGCTCTTTCCAGTTCTTTTTTTTTTGACAGAAAACACGACAATAAACTCAATTTATTGGTCCTTTATTTTTTTTCATCTCTTTCATTTTCATGTCACAAACTTATATGGAGTGTTCAGAAATTTCAAGTACTTAGGGGCAACAAAATACAAGGTGACAAAGCTGTCCTACACAATTGAAGATAAGCTACATATGGATGATATTCCATCTTTTAGTATTAGGTTTATCCAATTAGTTTCATCTACTCAAGAAAATGCACGTCGTATCTTTATTTTTGACGATCAAGAGTTTATTGAAAATAGATTTAAACAAAATGAAGATTCATTATTCATGAAGAATCTGGAGTTGGAGAAGTCAAAGTCGAAGAAGGATCTCGACTTCAGAGTTATGTATTTGACACATAACTATTACAAATTTCATTATCCTTTACTGACTATGTATCAAATGGTTTTATGTATGTGCAATACCATTTTATAACTAAATCAGTGTTTATCATATTCATAATTTTTTTTGTATATGATACATAGCTACGCCAAATTATACGGGCATGATACATAAATACTATAATATGTAGTTCATGTATCGATCTCAAACCAAACAACTTATGGGCAACAAATACATGTTAAACGTATCCCGTAACAATACAATACTTATCAATTTAAACAAGATACATAAATAGTAATGTATCATAGCACTAATTTTTTAGATATGATACGTTAAATTCGAATTTATACTAAATGTATCAATTACATAGCAACTACCACACAGTAATGTATCGATCTCAAATCTATCATCTTATGGACAACAATTACTTATTTAATGTATCTAGTATAAATACAATACTTATCAATTTAAACAAGATACATAAATAGTAATGTATTGACAAATCGATCCATCTCGAAAACACAATTCAAAAAACGATTACATAACATTATAAAAGGTATGAATGATCCATCAGAGCTATGTATCTCTTCCGTCTTTTTGTATGTTGTATCAATACATAGCGAATACACTGAAAATCTAAACTCATGTTTCTTCACCTCAATAATGTATCTCATTCACAAATTTTTCATCAACTCATCGATCTCTAATTCAACCGCAATGACTGATTTGAGATTCACAAAACCAATATTTTGACCAACAACAATTTCATCACTTTTGTATCGTTCCTACCTCACCTCACATTCTCAGATTTCGGAATGTCTTGACAAGATCGACAAGTTCATGTTGTGTCAATACAATTTTTCGATAAGTTTGATTCAAAAATTAAGAGTTTTTTTGGAAGAATGGGAGAAGAATTTTGAATTTTGAATTGTGCTAACATGTTACAATTTGTCAATTAATGTATCGATTTAAAACCAAATAGTAATGTATCGATGAAAATCAAACACCTTATGGGCAATCTTTACTACTTTAATGTATAAGGTATGATTACACTACTTAGCATTTTACTAATTATTTTAAAAATAATAATGTATCATGAGTAATATATTCATCTCGAGATCACAAATTAAAAAATCGACTACACAATACATATAATTCCATATCTTTCATTATCAGATCTCATTATCCTGAAGTTAAAGTTATAAATAGTAATGTATCATGCACAATTTTATGGACATGATACATAAATATAAAAGTTGATTCATATAAATCCAACCAGTTGCTCTATCAATATTGTGTTCTTCTACTTTTTCAAATTTGATATTTAGTATACAAGTATATAGCCAATGTCGATAGAAAAGGAAAGCGCCATAGAGGCGGTGGCGGCAGCCGTGCGAAAGAAGAGGCTAAGAGCCCTCAAAAAAGCGCAAAAACTTCTTCAAATTCCTGACAATGATAGTAACAAGACTAGCGAAGATATTCATGATGTATCTTCTCGAAATTTTCGATAATTTTGAATCAAAATTGAAAGGATCTTCAATGAACTAGGAGAAGAATTTTGAATATCAAAATTGAAAAGATCTTCAATGTACTGGGAGAAGAATCTTGAATCTCAAAATTTTCGACAATCTTGAATCAAAATTGAAAAGATCTTCGGTGAACTTGAAGATTCAAAAAGAAATTGTTTGTCCAACAACAATACCATCACTTTTGTATCCTTCATAACTCACTTTGCTTACCCAAAGTTTCGACAAAAGTTTTTGAATTAAATCTGAAAGGTTTCTTCGATGAACAGGGGGAGCAATTAGAAATTTTGAATTTCTTCATTCTGTTAGGATTTGCCTCGGTATGATTGAGAGTAAGAAGAAACGTAAGCGTAATTTATGAAATTTAATTAGATTTTCAGATTTTATTCCATTTTTAGCGCAACAAAAGGATCTTCTTGTATTAGAATTAATGTATCCGGATGGTGACTTATGTAGTGAGAAGGTATAAATTTTAAGGATTATTGCAACGAGAAAAAAAGTAGGGATAGCATGTAATTTACGCTTTACACTATGAGATTTATGTAAGTTGTACTTTTAATAATTAATTTAATTAAATGATTTTAATTTTTTAAAGTTTCTAAAAACAATCCTTCTAAAATATTTTATAGAAATCAATAATCCAACTACACATCGGAAAAGGAATCCTAGTACCGCACACACTTTTCCTACTTTCACCTCTATAAGAAAAAATATTTCTAAAAGTTTTCCTTTTTCGGTTTAGTATTTAAAAAAAAATCCAAATCCCATTCAAAGTAGAAAAACTTAAAGAAACATAAACTCAACTATAAATATAGATAAGTTAGACATAACTCAATTGCATTAGTTGCTTGCAGTAATTACTCCCTTCATTGTTGTTCCCAATTAGCAAATTAAAATGGTGATTAGCCGTCATTCAAAAAAAATAACGAAGATCAGAGGAACAAGAAATAACAAACTCATAATGAAAGAGAATTTTTCTTCTGCCATTGAATCACTTCCTAATGAGTTACTTACTGAAATTGTTGCAAGGGTTGCTTCTACTTCTTTTCAGAATTATATCAATGCTAAGCTAAGGTATATATTTATTTATGTATCTCATAATTCTATCAATCTTTCTACGATGAGCAATTTTTGTTGTTTTTTTCTAACCAATCGATATTTTAGTTGCAAGGTTTTTCATGAAGTCGCAAATGAACGATACGTCTATCAAAATGCAACGTTGGCAGAGTTTTCGATAGAACCTTCGTGGGAGAAGGAAAAGCAAGAGAAGATAAACAAAGTCGCTTCATTCTTAGAGTTATGCAGAGAATGCGGGAATACAGAAGCTTTATATAGAAAGGGCGTGGTAAGAATTAATTTTATGTACACTTTATGTCCGACAAATATTTAAAGATAAATTTCAATGATGATTTTTGAATTGAGATTGATACTAATGGACTCTTAAATGTGCTTACTATTTTCAGATGGATTTCTTTAAAGATGATATGCCAGAACTTGCAAGTGAATTTCTGAAGAGAGCAGCAAAAGGAGGTCACATTGGAGCATTCTATGTGATTGGCATAATTATGGTCTTTATGGGGGCTGAGTTTAGGCAAAAAGGAGTAAAGTTGATTGGCAACATGAAAAATACAAAGCAACTAAGGAAGATAACAAGGGAGTGTCGAAAGCAGTTAATTGAAATCTTGACACATATTTGGGTGAAAAATCCTTTAGTGTTGGGACAAAGACCCAATCGTTGCACAATTCAGCATCAACGCATTCACAGGAATGGTTGGCCACATGACAGTGAAGATGAAGACGAAGATATGGATGTTCATTGTGATGCTTGTAGCTGTGATGTAGAAATTGATCATATCATCAGTGTTTTACCTAAAGTTGACATGTATTAGCTACATGACTTTATCCCCTTTTCCCCCTTTCCTTACTTTTCTACTATTGTAATATTGCGACTCTAAACTTTGTGCATAATTTAGTTTTAGTAATGAAATAAACCATCTCTGGGAAACTAAACTTTGGATCAACCTCAATTACTCAATCAATAACTATATCTTTTGGATGCAGCTTTCTACATCAATACAAATGTTTTCTGGAAATACTAACAGTAATCATTCTGATTGAGTATTATGCTCTTTGGATCCACATAAACAGATACAATTCTATCCTATTAGCATTACCTGTCTTTAGCAGGCTGAACTTTTTTTCAGTCAAAACTCGTTTGGTAGTCATGCTTCGAAACAAAAAACACCTACATGATAGTTCAATACACGCTACAGCTCAATGTGGTATTCTTTTTTTTTATTTTTTTTATAAAGGTAACATTTGCATATCAATCATCAGCTCAAAGCTGGTATCCAAAAATTTACATCATAGCCTCCCTCCACACTGGTGTGTCTGGCATAAACAAAAGATAAAGAAAAAAGAAAACTATCCTAGATCCTCCTTCATCTTTATGAGGACCCTAGAATGTCTACAATAGCCACATGGTCATCTATATACTCTGAACTACACCAATAGCAAAAAGCGATAATGCAGTTCATCTTAATCTTGTGCAAAGGGCAGCTCTTGTTATCAAAACTCCTAGAATTCCTTTCTTTCCATATGGTCCACCAAATAACTACTGAGACAATTTTCCATCCACTCTTGTTTGTGCACTGCCCTCCATATTCCAGCAGGGCATATTCCAGCTTTCTAGAGTCTGTCCTGTTCTCTCTGGAATAGTCTAACTTATATCTCTGAAGCTAGTAAACAAATTCCACAGCTGGCCAACCACTTTACAATGTAAGAACAGATGGTTAATTGTCTCTGCAACCTGCTCATAAAAACATCTTGGGCACATCTGTATTCCCCTCTTCATAAGATTCTCTTGTACAACCTCTTTCACTACCAACCAAGTAAAAACTACCACTTTATATGGTATTTTAACCTTCCATATAAGCTTCCAAGGCAGAAAGTTAACTTGAGATCCCATCTAATTCATATTTCTATATGCAGAACTAACAGTGAATAATCCTTTGTTATGACAATTCCATGTAAGAGTGTCTTCTCCTTCCTTGAATCCTAAGAATTGATCAAGTGTTCCATAAAATTCAGCCAATCTCTACACCTCCCAGTCTTGCATCAATCTTCTATAGGTAAGGTTCCATCCATGTTCGGACCAAACTTCATAAAGAGTCGACTCTTGTTGTTGGTTCATGTGATGAATATCTGGGAACAAGCGTTTGAGACTTCCATTCCCTAACTAGTTATCTTCCCAAAACCTGATCTTCCTCCCATTGTTCACATTACATTATGTCTTTGCATAGAAGCCATGCCATAAGTTACTAATTGATCTCCACAAACTGGTTCCATATGTGGATGTCACTTCCTTAGTCTTCCAGGGTCCTTCCTTCCCATATTTGGCTTGGATTACCCTACCCCACAAAGATTGTCCTTCTAAAAGAAATCTTCATAACCACTTCATGAGAAGACTTATGTTTTGCTTCCTAAGATTTTTGATGGCCAGTCCTCCCTGCTTCTTGGAAAGTAGCAATATCTTCCATTTGACTTGGTGGAAACCTTTATATTGCTTCTCATCGTGCCACAAAAAGTTACTTCTCAGAGCATCAATTCTTTCTTCCACCTTTGCAGGAAGGGGAAAAACTGACATCAAGTAAGTTGGTAATGCATCCAAAACTGAGTTGATCAACACTAATCTACCACCTCTTGATATATATTGAGACTCCCACCTAGACAATCTTTACTCACATCTTTCCACTACTCCATTCCATATCTTTTGGATTTGCTTTTGGCACCCAAAGGCATACCCAAGTATGTTGCTGGTAACTGTCCTATTTCTCCACCCAAAATATCCACCAGATTTTGTATCTTGGGCACATCATTGATTGGAAAGATGTCTCTTTCTCCAATTAGTGTCCAACCCTGATACTGACTCAAATAGTATGAGAACTATCCTCAAATTTTTTGTTGGCCGTCTTCTGCATCACAAAAATTCAAAGTGTCATCTACATATTGCAGATGGATGATTTCCAATCTAGTATTCACCTCTTTGACCACATTAAAACCCCTTATCCAATCATTCCTATGCGCTGTTTTAATCATATTGTTCAGGCCTTCCATGACTAGCAAAAATAAGAAAGGTGAGAGTGGATCACCTTGTCTCAAGCCTCTGCTTGCCGGAAAGAAACCTTCAGGAGAACCATTTATCAGTATTGAGAACTTGACAATGCTAATGCAAAACCTTATCCATCTAATCCACTTCCTCCCGAAACCCATACTATGTAGAATTCCAAGCAAATACTCCCAGTTAACATGGTCATATGCCTTCACTCTTGAGTAAAGACATTCATTTGCAATGAGAACAACATCAGTGATCTGTCTTCCTTTCAGAAAGGCCATTTGTTGAGTGTCGACCAGCTTTGGCATCACCTTCTTTAGCCATTCTATAAGAATTTTGGAAATTAGCTTGTAGACACTTCCAATGAGACTGATTGGTCTAAAATCTCTCAATTCTTTGGCTCCATTCTTCTTTGGAATGAGTGCAATGTAAGTTGCATTAAGGCTCTTTTCAAAAACTTCCTGAGAATGGAAGTTCTGGATAGTAGCCATCACATCCTCCTTTAAAATCTCCCAACATTTCACGAAGAAACTGATACCCATCCGGACCTGGTGCCTTGAGGCCTTTCAAGACCTCATCTTCTTCAAAAAGTTTCTGCAAATCTTGTTGCTCCTCCCTGCTGATCACTGGACAGTGGTTCATGTTGTAAGCAGGTCTACAATTTTCAGTCTCACAGTACAACTTCTTATAAAATAAAATTTACCTCGTAAAAGCAAAGCTAGGACCACAACTATAGTTCTATCATCCCAAGACACTGAAAATATTCAACTAATATACTTTAGAATTAGCAAGCAATTCAGACTCAAAAAGATGTACAAAAGTTCTCCTAGAAAGTATTCAAATCACCCCGCACACCTGCCCACAGAAACCAGAAAGAGAGTATAATCTCAGAGCTGTGAGGTCATCAAACGTTTCTGACAATGAACCCCAAAAGAATACCAGCCAAGCTAACCAGCAAGATGTACAAAAGTCGAACTCCAGTACGACGTTCGTGACATCCATGCCTAAGAAGCTCCTGGACAATGGTTTCAAACAGAACCAAATGATAGAATCATCTTAGCCAAAATGTCAAAACAACAGATGGTAATTTTTCTTTGTGCACACCTACTAAATTCAAACAGTTGTTGCAAGAAAATCCAGATAAAGGCCCAAGTTTGCTATGAAGTTCCCAGCTTAGGCCAAATCACCAGCCTATGGTCATCACACTAAAACTAAGTAGTCTATGAACTATTTTCTGCTGATTGCACAATAAAGTTTCTTAAAATCAACTTGGTCAAGTTCTAGTCTCTAACAGTTACCACCTTCTAACGGACCTGTTTACTGCTATAACTGGGGATTAATGACCTTCAAGCTTACCATGCACATCAAATTATCTGGAACTTGTAAACTAGCAGACAGAAAAAGGAAACATCAATTTACTTAAAAACCATTGACCAGTAATGCAGAAACACAGGGAAGACACATTTTCTTTGACTGCCGCACTAACGCAGTCTCCTTCTGGAATAATACGAATGCTAGTAGCATTAACATAAACTCCTCCCATAATCATTGCTTCAAAGACCAGGCCTCTCGGGTTCACTTGGAATATCATTAATAGCAGCAGGACTGTAAATAGGTTTATAACCTGGAAAGACCTGTTACCTTTTTGTCTTTGAAACATTAGGCTCACTGGAAATGACAATACCACAACAACATACCAGTGTAGTCCCACAATACTTTTCAAAAATAATAAAAATCATTTTCCCTTATAAAAATGTCAGCCCAAGGGCTATGGAAATCCATTTGTGAACAAATAGCCAGACTAGTGATATGCCCATTGCGGTTAGTTGGGAAATACCTAGAAGGTACCACTATAAGCTTAATATGGACAGCTCTTCATTAGGTAATCTAGAAGTTGGAGGTATGGGAGGGGTTTTTAGCGATAGCAGCGAAAATTGGGTTCTTGGATTCATGAAAGGTGTTCCAAAAGCTACTAACAACATGACTGAACTTTGTGCCTTGCTCTACAGATTGAGGATCACTGTGGAAAATAACTACATGCCGCAAAAAATCAACATTGACTCCTTAGAGGTAATTAATCTACTCCTTAAAAACAAAGACCTTACTCTACTATTATGGATGAATGCAGGTTATTGACGGTGATGCTACAAGCACCTCAGCTGACTCACTGCTACAAAGAACAGAACCACGTCACAGACTTACTAGCTAAGGAAGTAGCAAAGAAGAAACTTTTTGGTGACATATTTTTGTTGATAGTTCCTCCTTGTTCGCCTACGATGCTTTTTTTTTTTTTTGAAATTGGTAACTTTGTGTATTTCTATCAATGTTAAGATCATTCAGTACATTGGTTGTACTTGCACCATATTTACATCAAAAGACTCTTAAGAAACTGGAGCTATTCTAGTCTTCTATAGGGAGCTTAATACATCTAGAATTTTCACAGTTTCTACAGAGTGAGACTGTCTACACCAAAAACTAAAGAGCAAAATACAATTCATCTTCAACTGTTGGATAGAGTTGCTCTTATTTTCAAAACATCTAGAATTCCTCTCTTTCCATATTGTACACCATATACAAGCCTACGATGCTTTTCAGTTACACATATTAGGAACTCCTTTTAAAAGATCCATCCCAGTTATCTATACCAATCCCGGCACTCCAGAGTCTGTCTGAACCCTGTATTTTGTAATGATGCCTAACTATGTTTAATATATATAGAGAACCGTCTATTAATCCAAAGAAAAAGAAAGAAACATCAGATACCAGGTCTCGGTTGAGCTTGGCATTTTGTCGAAGAATGGAATCTCTCTCTTCCATCAACCTCAAAATGAGATCTCTGGCCTGCAGTACAACCAAGAAATAATTTTTGTATCAAAAAGAGATTATCACACATCTATCTGGTATCAAGGTCGGAAATGTGAGAGAACATTAAGTTTGACACTAGCATGCTGAAAAAACGAAACCCATTGCCTATCACTTCCCAAATCCAAAGATAGATGTTGAGGCATAATGTGTTTCTGGTAGAAGAATCAAGCATAGACAGTTCTTATTCAACAATTAGCTAATGTGGCTATGATTTTAAAATGTCAATTAATGACCAGTTCTTCTTTTCTGATCATAAATGGCAATGGAAAGCAAAAATCAGAAAGCACCTTCAGGATTTCGTACTTCAGTCAACAGTGGAACTAGTGACAAACATGACGAATTCTTGAAATATAACTCACTTAAGGATTCATCTGTATCTCTTTCACACATACCCGCAACTCAGAGATGTTCCTCAAACATTCTGTCTCTAGGGCATGGATTTTTGATATAAGAATATCAGCACATGGCAAGTAATATATATTTATTCTCTTATATTCGATATTTTTTTCTCACCCATAATTATCCTACTTTTGGCACCAAAACCACGGTCAAGTTCTCATTACTCCATCTCTGACTCTTAACTACGTCCTACAAGTTTCTGAATGCCCATTTAGCTTTATTATTATCAGCGGACTTACTCAATTCCTTGTAGGATCATGTTACAGGACAAACAATTGCATGGGGGATGCAAGTAAAGAAACATTTACTATCTGCCAGATGGCTCATTTCACTGCATTACAACTGGTCATCCTCATTCTCTTAACTTCGACATATAATTTCTGATTTTCCTGCCCCCAAGGCCTAGCTCAAGTGGCAAAAGGTGGAGGATTTGTGACTTAGGTCGCAGGTTCAAGCCCCACACCATGCAAAGCGAAGCCCGATATTTAAGTGGAGAAGGGTAGAGGGGCGGGCCCATTATCCACCGAGTTTGGAAGGCTGTGATTGGTCCAAAGGGCGGGTCACAAACGAATTTCTCGGTTATCAAAAAAAAATAAAAAAATTCTGATTTTCCTCTATAACAACACTAGTTTATGACTCGTATCAATTTGGAAAACAAAAATGTGCTTCTTCCCAAAACAAGACAGTAGTAAATTCCCATCCCTTTTAGAACCTGTCCACCATGATTACATTGGACCATGCCTGTAAGTTCTAGTCTAAGCTCATTACTGTATTACAATGATTGACGATTACTCCAACTGCACTGGAATATTCCCAATGAAAATATCTTCCAAGCTGTTTTACATACTAACAAACTATTGAAAACTACAATCCGTTAGGAGTCCCCATTTGTATCGTAAAAAGTGACCATACCAAAGAGTATCTTTACGAGTCGGTTCAAAGATTCATATCTTCCCAAGAGTACTCCATCACTCATCTTCTCCTAATTCTCTACAACAAAAGTGGATAGTTAAGTCCAAGAACGATCACCTAGTTGGATCACCCATACATTACTCCATCACCATAGTGTTCCTCTTCAATTTTAAATAAAACTAGCTCTTGTTGTCAGCTAATCAGCTATATGCCTTCATCAGTTCCACAAACCAAATACTTTGTTCTGTTATTATCCTAAAAATCTTTTGTATAAACTTCCACAGAGTTTTTAGGAGTATATACTTCGAAGAGAAACTTCAGGAACTGTTGCAGGTTCGATTCTCAACTCTCCCATTTGCGAATACTGTTTTCCATGGCTATTATAAGCCATTTAATTTATTTTTTTAAAAACAATTAAAAGTGAGAGTTGAGATTCGATCCAGGGTCACAGGTAAGGGAAGTAGGATGCAACCAACATGCCATGAGCCTTCTTTTGCATGTTAGTATGCAAATTAAATATATATACTATTTCGCTAGGTATATATACATATATATACATAATTTTTTCGAAGCTAACAGGTGCACGAGCACCCCCACCCTTCCACATGGGTCCACCTCTTATCATCAAAGGAATCAAAATGAGGCTCGAGCAAGTGAAATAAGTGCATTTGTACATGTCCCAAAGTGTAACAACAGAATAAAGATGAAAAAGCAACTAGGTTACAAACTGAAGGAGTTCGAGTAAAGTTAAGAGGCAATTTTAAAATGGATCACTAATAAAAAGGATTTTTTTTTTAAAAAAAAAAAAGGCTCAATTGCACATTAGTATGTCTGCAAATATTAGAACTTAGCAGAAATCAACTTCAGCCTCAAGCAAAGGTTTGAAATTCACAAATTCAATAGCGAATTGATGAGTTCCACATATTTCGGGGGAGTCTTTGAAGAACAATTTAGAGCATATAATTTGGGATCAAAGATGATGATTAAATGAGAGCACACAAACATAAAGGATGAGGATTGTTGATATGATCACCAAAAAGGTGTTTTAGCTTACTGGAGAAAGAAAAGAAATTTCGTCCCATATTCCACAACATCACACTACTAATAGAGACCAAAAGTGGGTTAGATGGAAGTAAGGGAAAAATACTTGGAGCAAGACTACTGAAGATGATAGTTGATTTTTTAAAAACAAGCATGAGATGCTACAAGTGTATCAATCTGAGTGATGATATTCGCATAATGCAATGCAAGACCAGCAGATCCCAACCTCTGGTTGTTGTTTTTCATAGATTTCTCTCCATCTGCAAGGATCAGCAACACTATGGCAATCATGAAACCACAAACTTTCCAGTCTAGTCACTAAACCATGTGCAGTCTAGTCAAGATTACAATTAACTTGATACATTGTGCAAAATCAAAACAGAAATTTAAGATGATGATGATTCAACAAAAGAAGTTCGCAAGTGTCTCTCATGAGTTTCTGTCCCCCAAAATGATTCCAAACATACCATTTCAAATGGGACCATTGAAACAGCCATGAGTTGTACAATCAGATTAACTGTAACATCATAGACAAGTATTGAGCAATAAGCATAATCTGCGAACTCTAGTTCTGTTGTTCGAATAACTAGTAACAGATTACTCAAAAATTCATCCAAGATCAAGGAATCTCCCCTGACCACTAGACATGCTTCAACAACAGGAAACCATTTGTTTTCAACAGACAGCTTGATAGGATGTTACAATAAAGTCAAGATTAGACAAATATTTGGTAAGTTTACGGTCACTCTACGATCTGAAAGAGTTTCCTCGAGCCTGGCATAGTGATTCAGGAGTTTGGCATAACTTACAATGAAACTGAATTCACAAGAATAAGTTAAGAGGATGTTACATCAAAGTCAAGATTAGACAAATATTTATGAAGTTTGCGGTGACTCTATGGTCTGAAACAGTTTCCTCGAGCCTGGTGTAGTAAGTTTTGCATAGTTATTCAGGAGTTTGGAATAACTTACAATAAAGCTGACCATTTTGTCTTATACCAGCATTCTGACCCGAATTTTTGCATTTACTTGGTGGTTTATGTTGACAATATAGTCATCACATGCAATGAACAATATTGTATCACCAAATTTGAAGCAGAATCTCTATTAGCACTTTCAGACTAATGATCTAAGGAATTACAATATTTTCTTGGTATTGAGGTCGCTTATTCTATATCTGGTATTACTATTTCACAACGGAAGTATGCTCTAGAGATACTTGAGGAGACAGGAATGACATGTTCTAGATATACTTAGGAGACAGGAATGATAGGTTATAGACACTCCTATGGATCCAAATGTTAACCTTCTACAAAGATAGGGGTAGCTCCTTAGTGATCCTGCAAGATATAGGTGGTTGGTTGGTTGGTAAGTTAAACTACCTCACTGTAACTCGACTTAACGTTGTCTTTCCTGTGAGTGTTGCAAGTTAGAGTATAGACTCTCCATGCAATAGTCATGGAAAATTGAATGGTTGGTGAGCTAGTTTTTTCATGTTTTTTAACAATTCAACATAAAAGTTCAATAAAAAAAAAGGAAGGATCTCTGAAGATACAGAACAAAAACTTGAATGCAAGCATTAGTTAAGAAAGTAACAGAAATATCAAATTAAGAACAATCACTCCTCCAACCAGCCCCTACATGACAGTAAAAAATCACCATAAGAGAAGTTAAATTGAAGGTTCAAATGCATACCAGCACAGCCAAATGCAGCATGGATTTCCAAATGAAGGAAATGCACAATGTCCACAAGCTTCTCTGTTACCTTCAGTAACGAGTAAACCAGTTGGTATAATATTCAAAGAAATTTGATTAATAAATCTAGAACAGTCTAACCTTATCATGCTAAGAATATGTATCATTAACGGGTGCACTAAGAAATAGTAATCAAATTACGATTATTTAAATTCAAGAATTAAAGAGATATATAAAGCAGCACTGACTTGCTACCTCTTCTAATATCTTGGACCAGAGGGATTTCTTTTTAAAATTTTTGACATGTTTCCTTTGACTTTTCAACTCTGCCCTTAAAATTGCAATGGTATCTCCTACACAAACGAAAAAGAAAAAGATCAAAACACATACAACAACAATGGAGAAAAAACTCACAGATGCTAGTCTCTGTAAAACCTAACATCATTCTTGATCTGTCACTTAAATTAATCAACAGGTGTTAAATCATTTTCTTAGGTAGTTGCATGAAAAAAAATTAATTTTGTGAAGCACAAAGTAAACAGTGATTAAGGAGTATCATTAAAGCAATCAAGTAATGAGCTCTCATCCTCATAACCAGATTTATATCACCCAGACAAAATAGTTCCTAATATTAAATGGGTGGTCAGAAAAGGAAAAGATTCTGAAAGAGGGTAAGCTTTAAAACTACTCATTACTCATGAAGTCTACGTCTAAAACCATGTCAGTTTATTCATTATTGTAAAAAAAACTAAAAACAGAAGGATCGAAAACTATGGTTCACTAAACCTGAAAGTATACAGAATAAGGAGTATGTAAGCATCTACAGCCAAATACATGAAAAAGAATGAATTGATTAGCTATGTTTCTCGGACTTTTCAAAAATGTTGCCGGATGCATGTTGAATCCTCCAAAAGTACTGCACTTTTGGAAGTCCGGAAACGGGTGCAACACCATTTTTGGAGAGTCCAAGCAACATAGCGGATCAGTACAAACTCGAGTCCGGAGCCAAAAGGGCAAGAAAATTAGCCAAAAATTCCAAAAGGGCAACAAAATTGAGTGGAGAACCAAAAGGGCAACATTTAGACAGTCTAACAAACACCGTTTAAATTACGAAAAAAGGAGCAAGGCGCGAAATACGATGCGCCTTGCAAGGCGCAAAGTACGATGCGCCTTGCAAGGCGCATGGCTGCGCAACCTTACAAGGCGCAAGGCTCCTGCGCCTCAATCTTGCTATTTATTTTAAAATCTTACTATAAATTTTATTTTTTTTGTTTTTCCTTTGAATTTTTGTTTTTTATTTTGAATAATTTGCTAAAATAAAAATAAAAATCACATGCAAAATAAATAGGAACAACTTCAAAATAAAAAACAAAAATTAAAAGTAAAAAAAAAAAAGAGAGAAAAAACTAACTAAAAACAAAACATTAAACATGAACTAAAAAAAAGAAAAAAAAGGAAAGAGGCGCAGGAGCCTTGCGCCCTATAAGGCGTATCGTACTTCGCACCTTACTCCTTTTCCCTAATTTAGACGGTGTTTGTTAGACCGTTTAAATGTTGCCATTTTGGTTATCAACTCAATTTTGTTGCCCTTTTAGAATCTTTGGCTAATTTTCTTGCCTTTTTGGCTCCGGATTCATACAAACTCCCTACACCTGGTTGAGATTTCCCTGGTTGTCACCACCAAAACTTCTACGCTATGATTGAACAGAAAACAACAAATTAAACCAGTTAACACAACTACTGCAAGCTAATTGCTTTACTATCACCTATAGTCCATTCTACACCTTTCCCTCATTGCCAAGGGAAAAATACGGAAAAAGTTCTATAAAGCCTTCTTTTGGGTAGCATTCTAAACAGTTTTGTCAAAGGCGCGCTTAAGCCCTGAAGAGAGGCTCAAAATATGTTGAGCGCCTCGGCTCGCTTTATGTGCACTTCAGTGTCGTCATCAAGGTTTTAAGACATACTTTCCTTGCCAACAAGCCCTTTTTGAAGAGAAGACACTAAACAATTGAAATTTCACTTTATCAAAAAAAAAATCAATTTCTTTGGTCATATATTTGTTATTCATGTTTATAATTATTAGGCTTAGACTAAACATATATATTTGTATTTTTTCCCTTTGTGCCTTTTTGTTAAATCCCACACTTTATTTGCGCTTAAATCCCCAACAAACCTTAGAGCTTTTTTTTTTTTTGACAAAGGTAACAGTTTTGTGTATTAATCTTCAACACTAAAGGCTGGGATCCCAAATTTAGAGCTTTTCGGCGCATTTCACCTTTGATAACGTTGATGCCTGATTCTGAATAATTTCATAATGCTTTTAAGTTTGTTTGGAGGTCTCTAACTAGACCCATGAATGAGAATAATACCGTGGAAAGGTATGCAAATATTTACACGTGTGTGGAAAGTGTATGAACATAGCATAAATGGCTAAAATCGTCGAAGTTGGAAAATGGAACAAGGTTCCACTCCCAAGTAGGTTCGTGCCCAAAGAGCCATGACAAGGCTTGGGAGGGAGATTGAGGCAAGCCACAGTGGTTTTATGCTCCAAGACACGCTCGTTGCAAGAGAAGCTAAGCCAGGACAAGCTTCACCCGATAAGTTTGCACCGGAAAAAAACCTGATAGACAAAGGAAAAGACTCGGCGATGGGCTCACATCCGAGTCCAACTGCGAGAGGCTCAGTCTCTATATATACCCTAGATCATGAGTTTTTTGCCATTTTCAAATTTCAATATTTGGCTATGTGTTGGGAGAACTAGAGGGAAGGTTTAACTTAGGATATCCAAGGTGAGATTGTCACCATATTTTGTGTTAAATAAAGTAGATTAACGCTAATACCATTCAATAATTCAAGAACTCAAAAGGGAAATTGAGTAGGTTTTGCAACCAAAGGTAATTGCTACCACTTGAAACTTATTTAATGAATACAAAGTAAGTGTTTAAATGCTATTTATACGTGTAGAAAGTGGTAGGATAAAGGTATTAAATGAAACCCTAGGTTGCCATTAATGTTGGTAATTGGGGAAGACACTAAGTAGTGACCTTGTCTATTTTTTTTTAGAATGGCAACAATTAATCTATATATCCACAGGTATACTACATCAAAATATGTAGTCCCCCTTCAAAAGTATTACAACTTACAACTTGAGCATCAATCTGTTGTTCCTTGAATAGTCTCAAATGTCAAAAATATCTTCTGTTTGAGCTGTTAATTTCTGTTTACACCAAAAATAAAACAGAGCTAAGCAATTCATTTTAAACTCCAGCAAGTTGCTCTGCTTGTCTTCAAAACATTTCCTATTCCTTTCTTTCTACATTGTCCACAAAATGCATGCAGGGACAATCTTCCATCTTCCTTCCTTTTTGGTTGCATTGTCATCCTTGCTTCAACAGTTTAGCAATCCTCCTTTTATGTTCCCTGGCCTTACCCACTTAGTCCTCCACAAATAAATGAGTATCTTGCGCAACTGGTCTGTCCAAACTTCCTTCAATATCTTTGTAATATCCCCCGTTAGCTTTGTTTCCCGGAGACACACTACATCTGCTTTCCATGTCTATTTAAATACATGTTGGGTTATAAATGACTCCAATAGACTATTGAATGCCAAGGATAGATGGATTTAATAGGGTGATTAAGCACCTTCAGTTTTATTTTGGGCTTGGTAGTCAAAGTTTAAGCCCTAAATAGACTATGTTGAGTTTAAATGAACTACTCTTGATACAAATTGGATTTATCGTTAGTGGCTTTGGGATGTTGAAATTAAATTTGGGAAGAGTATTGAGGTATGTAGAGATTTATTACCTCTTTGAGCTTTTTCTCCAAAATGTGTTCGAAATGGCTCAAATATTTGATTCTAAAAATGAATCCTAGCTTGTGGGGATGAGCGGATTAGGATTGCATCATTATGCTAATTACTAAAAGTTTCAATGCCATTTGGTCTATGTTTTGTGATACCTCATATTTGTATACTTATAAAAGCTAAATGATTTGAAATAGCACTTTGTTTGAATTCTTTGAGTTTATTTCTCTAGTGATATCTCAGACCCCAGTCTTAACTCAAATATAAAGGACAATGTTGATCCCTTTGTCTCTATTTGAGTGCCTTTCCAAATCCTCCTCCTTTCAGCTACAAGAAACTCAAAGTTGATGCAAAAGGCTTCATAATCTGAAGTATATAGCCTCTTATGTACATAATTAAGCATAATAGACAAGGTGGACCACGTCAATGAACTCGAAACAAGGTCCGACTTCTTGGTTTTTTTGTCTTTCTTAAGTGGATGGGTGGGTTTAACTGGTCAGGTGAGATGATATTTACTTGTTAGGGAAATGGCATAACTAGAGGACTTTAGAAGCATAAAGTTTATGACTTGGATGCCGGAATGCAGGTTTGGTGATTCATGATAGTCGGATGAGCAAGATATGTGGAAGATGGAGGCTTTGCCTCTTCGTTCCCTTTTGCCTATGCATGATGCTCATTGCTCAAGAACAACTTATCTAATTCATTTGAGCTTGAGGGTATATCGGAACAGGGTAAGGTCTGTATACACACTACCCTCCCAGACCTCACTTGTGGGATTACATCGAGTATTGTTGTTACACAAAATAAGATTAGAGCTGTCCTTTCAGCTTCATCATCAATTTGCTAGAAGGTTAGCAGACAAGCTTAAAATGTGCTGCTAAAATAAACCACCACATTACACTCTCTCTCTCAGTATGTTTATACAATGGTCAGAAAAAAGTATACAACTATAAAGTTGCCCTTATCTCAACAAAAAAAGTATACAACTATATATGGTGAACATCTACCATACACCTCCAAGCTAAGAGAGACCTAAACATCCTAAGCCTGCCTTGTTGCAGCAAGATTATCAATCTGAAAGTGCTGGAAAGAAGAGTCATTATTTCCATACTTCATGGGATGCTAATAACTATAGATAAAAAGCACGATTTTTCCATGACGTGTAGGGCGTCAGCCTTACAATGGGGAAACATCAACAGATTCGCTCATGATCAAGTTACAACCTAAACTTTATGGCCATACTAAGCTAGAATAAGCTGAACGAGAGTGAAGCAACTACTTTCCCAACCCACAAACTATAAGGGGTCGTTTGGTTGGGAACTAATTATCCCAGGATAAACTATCCTGGGGTTAGTTATCCTGAGATAACTTATCCCACCATGTATATTGGATAACTTATCCCATCACTATGCTATAAATGGTGGGATAAGTTATCCCAAACATGTCAACCAAACAAGACATCTAAATTTTATCCTAGGACTATTTTTTTATCCCAAGACTATTTATGCTTATCCCTCACACCAAACGAGCCGTAAGTGAAAAGAATTACAA